GGGAGAGGGAGAAGCAGGCTTCCCGCCGAGCAGGGAGCCCGATGCGGGGCTCGATCCCAGGACTCCGGGATCACGACCCGAGCCGAAGGCAGTCGCTTAACCGACTGAGCCACCCAGGCGCCCCAGAATTTAAGTTTCTAAGTAAATGTTCGAAGTCTGTGTTTCCATACTGTCTGGGCAGATAACAAATTAAATAAGGAAGCTCTTAACAATGGGAAAAAAAAAATTAAGCTTCCTTTTTGGAACACTGGCTACCACAGGGGGTCTACTAGGTGCAAAACACTGTATTTGGCATTTCTGTGCTCAGAGCAATTCTATGAGGAGGATATTATCATCTCTAACTTGCCACTGTGGACACGGGGGACAGAGAGGCTAAGTCACTTGCCCGAGTTCCCAGAGCCTGTGAAGAATAATCAGGAATGAAGGACACTTTGGTCTGACTCCTAAGCTCATGTCGCACCTACTACCTCTAAGACAAAACACGTGGGGCAACAGGATAAAAATATGCCGCACAAGCTGCCAACAGCGAACGCGAGAGCTCTCCAAAGAGGGAAGGCTGGGCTAACTTTGATTCTGTTACCTTCTATAAGGTGCTGGAGCTCAGCTGGGAGGAACCCATTTCATCCACAGAGCTGTGTGTGGATAGGAAGTTGGCTACACAGTGATCCAGGGTTATAACCCGCCCAGTCACTGGTGCGCAGGAAGGCTCACAAGAAGACGAAAATTACTCAGACTCTGTCATAACAGGGGTGCCTGGGGGGCTCAGTCGGTTAAGTGTCTGACTCTTGATGTCGGCTTAGGTCATGATCTCAGGGCCGTGGGATCAAGTCCTGCGTCGGGCTCCACGTGGAGTCTGCTTGAGATCCTCTCTCTCCTTCTGACCCTCCCTACTGGCTCACTCACTTGCTCTCTCTCAAATAAATAAATATATATTTTTTAAAGAATGTTATAACAAAGACGAAGCAGTCTGGCCACCGCTGTGATCACGTATCTTGGAACCACTCCGCTTACAACCACACTGGAATGTTCTTCCTAGATTAAACACCATGATCAATTCCAATGGGTCATTTAGGGCACTGATCACTCTGATTTTACTAAAAAGCCATCATCAGAACCACCTTTTGACCCAGTTTTCCCATGCAGAGCATTTTTACAAGCACTATCCCCCCCTTCTCTGCCCAACAGTGCGGCTTAAATTGTTCTGATGATGACGGTGTAAGAAACACATTCTACCATACACCCAGCTTACAGGTCCACAAAACAAAGTTCCACGAAATGAGACATACTCTTACTATGCACTGAGCTCTCACACTTGTTTTCTATTTTGCTCTATTAATTTGGCCAATTTTGTGGCCACTGACTTGGTGATTCGCTAATGATTCTATACCCCATGGAGGGGGCTGTATTTGTGATTTGAAAGGTCTGGTCTAGAAACCAAGGAGAATTGGGGTCCCTACCTCTGGGGCGATGTAATCTGGCGTCCCACAGAAGGTCCTGGTTGTGACTCCATCCATCATGTGTTCCTTGCACATCCCAAAATCGGCAATCTTGATATGCCCTTCCGAATCCAGCATGACATTATCTAACTTCAGATCCCTGCAAGGAAGCAGGAGAGCATCAGCGTCCTTCCCACGACATCACACGGTCTGCTCTGGAGCTAGTGAGACGGAAAGATCTCGGACTAGCTGCCACCTCAATGGCGTATTAACTACGAGTCCTACGGGTAACTACGACGGTCCGGAGAGCCGGGACCAGGAATGACTGGGTTTTGTTTTTGTTTCTGAAATCTCCAGAGCCTACTGTAGTGCCTAGGACACAGTAGGTACTTAATAAATGCACACCGAATAAATGCCTAAATGGTTGGTCTAGCGATCCCCAACCTTGGCCAAGCATGTGAATCACCAGATTCCAATTTAGCAGGTCTGGGGCAGCTCCCAGCCATTTGATTTACTAGGATCCCACAAAGGGGATCACACAACCAGGTTTGCCAAATCCCAGGTTCAGAACAACCTCGCTGGGTCACATACGTGTGGCCACTGCATTCTGCCTGGTGGCATGGGTCCTTTTACTCTTCAGTTAATCCTGGAAGACATTCCCCTTTCTTTGGCATCAGACTTTCACTGTTGCTAACCACCTGCAGAATTTAATTCACTAGTTTTTCCTCTGCCTCTCCCCAGCTCCCCCCATGTTCTTCTCCCGCTGAGCATCTATAACAGAAATTCGGTTTCCATTGCTCCCTGACCTTCATTACAAAAAAAGGCAGAGGAAGGAACTGTCAGTGGAGAGAAAAGCATGTTTTCTTGTGGGAAGCAGAAATGAGATATACAAAATCTTCTGAGGTCCAGAGATCGGAAAGTGGCTCTGATTTGCCTGCCGGCTGCAGACAAAGGTAGGTCTCTTGTTACCTTGAGGGTTCTCAACAACGTGTCTTAAGTCCCCATCACAGAATCAACATGCACACGGAGGTCCAGGGGTCCGGGAAAACTCCCAGATGCCCTGCTGGTTGCAGAGCCTCAACACACACCTGTAAATGATTCCTCTTTTATGAAGAAAGAACAATCCAATGGAAATCTCTGCTGCATAAAATCTGCAAAAGAAAATGCTCATCAGGCTTGCTGGCTTGCTCTCTGGATTTCTGAATATTTTGTACCCTCCAGCTCAGGCATCAAGGGGGCAAAAGAATGTAAGACCCTGGGACGACCAGAGATCAGCATCACCCTGCAGATGACAAACCCTTTGCTCTTCGCTTGGCCATTTTAGCACTCCCACCTCCCGGAGGAACTTCACAGCTAATAAGTCAAACAGACAGGTTTATTACCTGTCTAGAAACAAGCACTTCTTGTCTGAGGCCGGTGGACAGTTAATTTACTGCTTACAGGGAATTTCCAATACGATCTCTTAAACAGTGGCTGCTAGAATAGTCTGTGTCAGGACTGGGGAAGAGTGGGGAAAATGTCTATTTTCCTATTCACGGACAGAATGCATTAGTGTTTGAAAATGCAGTGATTCCCTGGATGATGGAGGAGCGTGTGTGATGTGCTCTGTAGCTGGTGTCCTCACCATCCCCCCTTACCATCCCCACCCCAAGCGCTGGGATAAATGGGACACACACCATGATTCATACTCGAGTTTACCCTTTTAAATAATTCATAATAAACTCAGAGTAAATGCTGAAAGAGGTTTTAAAATGTGCATAGCATTTAGGAATCTTTGAAGTCTGAGAAACCACAAGACTGCATTTGTGCAAACATCACACCTGGGAGGCTTAAAATCCACACAACGTCTACACAAGCAGAGAACAACCTCTGGTGATAAGGACTGAACTCTTACGGGGAGGGGTGGGGGTGTGGCATCTCTGAGGGCCGCCAGGGGAGGAATGGGATGGGAGAGGGAAAAGCAATGGGATTACAGGCGACCTTTACATGATTTTTCATGCTCTTCTGTATTTTTAAAATAAGAACTTTCTAGCAACACAAGTACACAACGTAAGGGTGCTGGATGAGACACCTTGATGTCACCTCATAACGTAAGGTGGTTATTCTGCTACTTGCTCTTTATAACTTTGTCACCAAGCTTTACTTTACAACCCAAGCATTTTGATGCTTTCTAACTAACAGAGTTAAGACAGGGGATAAAGACAGGCATTCCTGAAAATTGAAAAGTAAAAATCTAAATAGAAAAAAAATCCCCCTTCAACAACAAAAATCTGATTGGCGTTTGTGGGTTTGATTAATAAAGACATCTGAGAATGAAAAAAAAGAAAGAAAAAAAATTCCCTTTTGCATTTTTTTCAGCTTGCTATCAAAGCATTCCCTCTTCTGCCTTCAGCCAGTATTCCCTAAGACACATCAACCCATGCAGGCCGAAAGTTCTTCAGATTCATCTTTCAAATCGAACATCGGCCAGGATCCAATGAACATTTGCTAACTTGATTAATCGGGGTACATGCCCACGATGCATCCTCCCCGAGGGAAATGAAATAGCTATTTGTATACATCTGCTTCTGCCATGTGTCCTGTGACCTCCTGGCCCCTGGAAAACAGGGTGAGTTTTCAGGTACCGAGGTCCCCCCTTCCATGGGCTGTGTCTCTCCTGGCTGCTGCTGACTCCTGCATCCCAATCAAACCCTCCACACTGCTCATGATTCTCCCCCAAACCATCTCCTCCTTGGCAGCTGCCCACTCCCAAACCTAAAATGAGGTGTCACCCGAAGAGGTGTCCGGTGTCTCTGTTCTACACTGAGTTCCCCTTTTCTTCCTCCAGAATGTTTCTCAAAAGCCCTTACTCTTCTTTGGCTCCAAGGTCAAGACCTGATGAAGGTTCCATTTTTTCTCCTCTATATAGATTTTCACCAGCCCCCTTGCACCCGTCCCTACTCTCCCCCCTCCCCGTCCTTCCTTCCCCTCTCGGTCACGGGGCTCTGTGAAAACTGGGCCTGATGGTGTGAAGCCCCATTGAAGCCCCCTCCTGCCAAGCCTTCCACGGTCCTCAGCTGGCTCCATCAGGCTCATCACCCGGAGCCCCTGCACCCCCTTCTGTCCTGCTGGCTCGGGCATTCCCTGAGGATGTTCTTTCCCCACTCCCCTCTTTACCAGGGCTCACGTGCCACCTCTAACATTACGGCCACACAGTACAATTGTTGGGTGACTTCTCCTACCCCGGGTCAAGGTGGTGAGCTCCCGGAGGGCAGACAGCCTTTCCCACTCCCGGCACCTGGTGTGTGTCGTGAATGTACAATAATCGTTTGTTTTTTTTTAAAGATTTATTTATTTGAGAGAGCGAGAATGAGAGAGAGAGTACATGAGAGGGGGGAGGGTCCGAGGGAGAAGCAGGCTCCTCGCTGAGCAGGGAGCCCGATGTGGGACTCGATCCCAGGACTCCGGGATCACGACCTGAGCCGAAGGCAGTCGCCTAACCGACTGAGCCACCCAGGCGCCCAATAATCGTTTGTTTAAAACGAGTGGCTGACTCAATCCATGAGGATGGAATTGGGTGACAGGCGGATACACCAGCATCTCCGACCAACTGGAAGTAGAATGAACCTCTCCTTCCGAAGGGTCGGTGGACCCAAACCAAGAAGTTGGCCCCCTGGGAGGAGACGGTACTCAGCTCCGAAGTGGGCAAAGCCCCACTTCCGTATTTCACCCAGCAGCAGTCCCTGTGTGCTGTCTAAATTAAGGGACTTTAAAAAAAAATACTCACACTGCTTGTGGTTCCTTAAATTTTCCTACTTGCTGAATGTGGTACATGAGGTCCCCGCCATTGACGTATTCCATGACGAAATACAGCCGGTCCTGAAGACGAAGGTGTGACACGTGAGCAGGACTTGGCCACCGGCCGAGAGGCTTCCTTCACTCTTCTAGACTGTGTTTTGCTTTCTCATCAGTTAGTAAACTGTGGGCTACCCTGGCAGATCTGCTCAGTGGAGCCCTGCAAAATTTTTCTTCCCAAATGAAACAGAAGTCATAAACCCTACTGCATGAGGGCCTTGGGAAGCATAAAGTCATTAACTGTCAACATGGCTGCCCCCTTCTGGTTCCATATGCTCCCTATTGTAGTAACGGCCTCCCAACACTCTTCCCCTTTCTCCTGCACATTAAGACATGCCTAAGTTAGCGATGGTGTGAAGAATCCAAATGGGCCAATTATTTACTTTTAACGAGTGTTGCTGGCTCGCAGCATCTGGGAGAAAAACCCCAGTGATGTAGTCATGCGTTTCCACCAGAAGCTTCTGAAAACAGATCTCGTGAGTTAGGCTGGGCTCCTAAATTATAAATGCTCAATGATATTTACTGTGGGGGAGGGGACTATACATGGAGAGGCTAATCCAGTGTGCTTCTGCATCATAATAGGCCCAAGTATTGCTTTTTATTTTCTCCGTCACTGGTGTGCTCAATGTCGGCCCCACGGAGGGCGTACATCATAGGCCCCAATAAAGCTGCATATTTATGAGGACATTACAGTGGGGTAAATGGGGGAAAATGGGGTTGAACAGCCAAGCAGCTCACAGCACAGCACACCCAGGTGAAAGCCAACCTCTGCTTGCTTCTGGACAACGTCACCATTTCGCGGAAGTTATTAAAAATTGAAGTGCTGCACGGGGAATGGAAGATAACAATGAAGTTGGTGCTAGCAGCGGGGAAAGAGCTCCTGGAGCTTCCTTCTCTAGCTTTCCTGTGATGAATTTTAATTCCATCTTTATTTCCGTGTTTTGCTGCTCCCTGGAGCTTCATCCGTGTAACCGGGGTGATAGGATCCGGGCTGGGATTTGCAGACATGGCTCCCCGTCTGGCATATTGCTCCTCCCTCCTGGGCACTATTTAGGTGCTGCTGGGAGAAGGGGACCGGCCATGCCACCGGCACCAGGCTGACATGCAGTGGCCGGCGCCTGGCTCTGCAGCCCATGGCCCGCCCCGACACTGTGCGGTTACACGGTCATTCTGAGATTCTAAGCTCCAAGAGCATGGAGGGGGACCTCCCAAGAGATTTTTAAAGAGAGATGGAAGACAGAAAGTCATTTTCTGGCCAGTAGAAAGTTAAAAATAATTATAATCGTAACAGTAATAATTATAGCTACTGATTATTGAGTCACATCTTAAAAAGGGCAGGCGCTGAGGGTGGAAAGCCTGTCTTTGGGCATGCCTGACAATGGTGCCCTCGAAATGGTTATATTTCTTGCGGGCCACCTGCAAGCTCCATGCCAGGGCCCTGGCCCCACAATGGGCCGATCGGTGCTTCGGAACCCTCTTGTCCTCCTTTTCGTTATACTGTAAGACAGGGCTCGGCAAACTTTCTGTAAAGGGCTAGACAGCAAATACTTTAGGCTCTGCGGGGATCTTGCAATGATTCAACTCTGCCTGCACCGCAGGAGACCCACTGCGGGGGACAGGAAAATGAAGGAGCCTGGCTGTCTTCCAAGAAAATGATTCCCGCACCCTGAAATGTGAATTTCATCTAATTTACACATGTCACAAAATATTATTCTCTTTTTCTCCTCCAACCTTTCTTAGAGCTCATGGACTGCACAAAACAGGCCAGACTACCAAGCCTGCTGTGTGCAGTAAACAAGAACACACTCTTTTATAAGATCAAGTTTCCTCGGATTCTAATGCAGTGCTTAGCAACGGGACCCGTGGCCTTCAAAAGCCAGGACCATGGGTTATTTTATTGGTGTTGCAACCCCAAGTCTTAGCACATGGCCTGGTATAAGGAATGTACCTTTGTACATTTGTACCTTATAAAACGTACCTTTGGTACAAATGTTTGCTGAATTAAACAGAATTAGTGCCAAGCCTATAAGTAGGGAACATCCCAGAGAGGGGGCTCCCCAAATTTACCAGCGGCATAGGAGTGAGAGGTTTTCTTGAGCCTTCTCTACTAGAGGAAGGTTGATTCAGATGCTTAGAATCCTGGCTTCAGGGGTGGCCCTTGAGAGCACACCGTGCGCGGCACCACAGATATGAACCCCTGGGGGCCTTACCACTGTCTGGAAGCAGGAGTGTAGCTGTGTCAGGAACGGGGGCTTGTCCAACAGGGCTAGGACTCGCTTCTCCACCATGGTGCACTCCACGTCGTCATCTTGAATCACCACATCCTTCTTCAGGATTTTGATAGCATACAGTTCCTCTGTGCCCTTCCGGTCGGCGAGCATCACCTGGGAGCAGACGAAAGGCAAGCTGAAAGCTTCAGAAGCGTACGTCTGGTACTGGGGGCGGGGTGGGAGAACCTGGTCAGGTGGCCGTTCAGTCGGCTTACGCTATATATTCATAAAGTTCCGCTTCATGTGCAAATTTTGAAATCTTGCGCATCAGTGCAGATTACACTCTTCCAGCACGGTGTCATTTAGAAGCTGTCGAAGATTTGTACGCTGCGCGGGCTATGACCACATGATGGCGCTATGGTGGCCATGGGAAGGAATATACGCGCCCTTGGTATTAGCCTTGAAGTGTGCACATTTTTCAGGAGCATCCTTTGGGCAAAAACGTGACTGACCTTTATAAAACTTCTCATGAGTCGGGAGCCAAGACAAAGAAAGAGGCGGGATTGGAAATCATTTCCTGGGTCTATCGTAAGATTTGGGGCCACAGAAGCCAAATGCAGACAAATAGGTTCTACAAATCAACGTCTAATTTTTAGTTGTGAAAATTATTGATTCAACCAACATTTTGGAGCACCGGCTCTGTTCTCAACCCGGAAATGGGGACACACAGTGAACCGGCTGTAGCTTTCTGGATACAATTGTTTCTAATGAAATGAAGTGGTGGGTGGGGCGCCGGGGAACATCTGAGAAAGGAGTACAGAGAACAGGGAGATCCCAAGGACGGCTCTGGAAACCTCAGGGAGCACAGGACCGATCCCTGCAGTCTCTGAAAAAGCCCCTCCGCCTCACAGACAATCATCCCCTTACCTTTCCAAAACTCCCTTTCCCCAGCACCATGAGGAAATTGAAGTCGGTGAGTTTCACTCTGTCCAGGTTGTTGGAAGGTGGTCTCCTGTCTTCTGAAGGACTGATTACTTTGTTACCAGCAGGGCCAAGCTTGGCTTTCTAAACAACAAGCACACGCGTGAACTCGATGAGTCATTTTTCCCAGGAAAAAGAGTGATAGAAAGCATTTAACTAAGCTTGAGGGCAGCTGGGAGGTGGGAGGTGGGATGGGGGCAAGAAAAGAAATCACAGGGTGATGAAATATTTATTCAAAAGTCAGTGGCTATATTTACCCTAAGGGCAATATTTGCACAGTAGCAAAAAAAAAAAAAAATTGCCCTTACCTATCAAGAGACAACTCTTTACATAGTTAACCAAGTCAGGCTGATTCTCATTCTAGGACTTAGAAGTTAACTTCTTGGGGAAAATGGGTGTTTCACAATGGCTAACATAATACAAGAAATAAACTGTGCACTGATGCTTTTCTAATTTGTAGATTTTCCAATTTGATTCATCTGCATAAAGGAAACTTGGATCCTAGCAAAAAGGGGTTCCCTGGAGAGGAAACTCTTTTTTTTTTTTTTAAAGATTTTTATTTATTTATTTGAGAGAGAGAATGAGATAGAGCATGAGAGTGGGGAGGGTCAGAGGGAGAAGCAGGCTCCC